AAGCTGAACATCCTTTTGTGTTTCCATTTTGAAGCTCAAATTCATGGCAAATTGCAAAACTGTAAAAAGACCCTTTTATTTTTAAAGATGAGAAGAAATGTGATATTTTTTAAAGGAAAGGAATATCTTTTAATAAGAAAAAAACCTCCATACATTTCTGTGCAAATTCAAAAATTGTTTTTAGACTAAATTTCTATATTAAACCCCAAAATTCTACCAAAATTTCAATTTTCATGGCTGCACTAGAAATGGTAATGCAGCAATGAGTCCTGGTCAGCASCATCTTGGATTTCACATTATTTTTATTACATTTATTTTTAGTGTCAAAATTCATTTACACCTAATGTGAGAACATTAGCTATTTAAACAAAACTGCAAAACATATTGTTGGCTTTCACACTACATAAATTAAACTGTATTTTCTCATATTACATGAGAAATAGATACAGTTGGGTATTTGAGTTTTTTTATCATACCACTTATTCTGGAAGTGTCTGCTGTGCTAATCAAGTGATTTTTGGGTTTCATTTTAATTGTTGTACAACACTGAGAAAGTGGTAATGTCTTCTGTACATATGTGCTTTAAAATTAGGTGGGTTTATTTATCCCAGTTTAACCTTGCTTGGAGATTTTGGAATGTTTTTCACTGGGCYTTCCTCACCACATTTCAGTCTCCTCACTGAGCTCAGTGCCTACAGAAGTTACAGTTAAATCTTAGTTTCTTTTGTTTTTTCAGCTGAAGYGTGGTTTTCCCCTCACACAAGTTCCCGTTGATATGAGAGCATTTAAGAATGAACTCTAGTCGTCTCTGGGGTTGCTGCCTCCCTGGCCCAAGCTGATTGGGGTTTGTCCTCTGCAATGGGTTTATCAGCAGGGGTGGTTACACAAGCAAGTTTAACTCAATCTTTTTTATTCCCTGTCAATAGTAGAATGGTCTTCCACTGCTTTTACTGAATCATGTTATCAAGGACCTATGTTCAAAAAAAACCAAACCCAAAATTTGGCCTGATGATAGGGGTGAAGCATGGTGTCTGTGCTGGCTTCTTYGTGTGCAGCATTAAAAAAAAAAWYMAAAAMMMAMMAMMAMMAAAAAAAAMCCCACCAAAAAAACAAATAAACACCACCTAGTTTATTTTTACAACATATACAGTTCTCCTGAAAGGAGATGCTTTGGGAGCCAATCAGGTGGTGCATTTTTATAGAACTCCATGAACAGGTCACGTAGGACACGGGATAAGAATTAAATCCCCCAAATCATAGGACTATGGCCAAACAATCTAATAGCAGGAATGCCTTGGCATGAAACTCTCTAGAGCAGGGCTAACAGCTGCACCTTGTGGGCTTGAAATGCCTTGCAGAGGGAAAGAAGCCCTTTGTCATGACACTGATTTTCATTAAAGTCTTTCATTAACTGACTTTCAGAAGTTATTGGCAGGGCTTTGTCTTGTCAGAATGGATCTTTTATTTTGGGGCAGTAGAGATGAAGGCACRTTTACAATGTGTAGAGAGAGTATTATGCAGGGATTTATGTTCATTTGCATGTCAGATTAAGGTTTTATGCCATTGCCTGTGTGAATTAAACACAGATAGCAGTTATGAGATTTTCTGATAGATCTCTATGCTGAATTGCAATGAAATTTTATATTATCAGATGGAAGTGCCCACTTCAATACATTAATATCCTTTCGTATTTGGAATGGATATAAAAATAGATATCACACCGTATATGTGCATTACCCACCATRTTTGCACAGATTTTTATTTCAAAGGAATTAAAGGTCATTCTGACTCCACAGGGAATTAAGTTTACAATTGGTAASACAAAGCAGAGATGCCTATTCTTTAATGTTACTGGTGCCCTCGGGGAATGGTGCTTCATCTCCTCAGTCTCAGGCAGCAGACAGTGTGGATCTGTGCCACACCCCATCACTGCTTCACCATCAGAGCTGTRCCGCAAAAAAGAAATAAAAACAGGTGATGAAGGGGAACATGACACAGAGACAGAAATTAAACCCAAGAAAGATGAGTGACACAAATGAAAACAACCAACTCACCAGCTGGGTGATGCCCAGTCAGTCCTGGAGCAGCAGCCCCTGGCCAATCTGCCCCCCTGGTTTTGTTGGTGAGTGTGACACTGGATGGTGTGGGCATCCCTAGGGTCAGCTGGGGTCAGCTGTGTCCCCTCCCAGCTCCTYGTGCACCCTCAGCCTGCCCACTGCTGGGGTGTGGTGAGAGGCTTTGTGACAGCTCTGCTCAGCAACAACTGAAACRTCCCCTMTTACCAACAAAAYTTCCTGCACAAATCCAAAATGCAGCCCCACACTAGCGACTGTGAAGAAAATTGACTCTATTGCAGCTGGAACCAGCACATCAGYCTGCTGCAAAGTCATCATCCACACCAGGGCTGCAAAAAATGTTGGGGAATTTCTTCCTGAAAATCTGCAGAACACCAACACAATATACGAACTTACACTAATTTTAGTCATAGAGTTTGGGTATGAAGGGACTTTGGGAGCAGCGATTGGCCCCTCCCAGTCCAACTCCCCCAATTTATGTACTGCCCACAACACTCTGTGCTGTGGAATATCCCTTTGGCCTGTCTGGATCAGCTGTCTGGGCCGTGCTCCCTCYCAGCTTCTTGTGCATATCCTCACTGGGAAAAACTGAGCACAAAAAAGCTGAAAAGTCCTTGACTTAGKGTAAGCACTGCTCAGCAACAGCCTAAACATCTGTGTTATCCACATTATTCTTGTACTGAATCCAAAACACAGCCCTGTGCCTACTGCTAGGGAGAAAATTATCCCAGCTGAAGCCAGGGCAGGGTCTCTTCCAGCCTCAGTGATGTTGTGATTCCGTGGCCTTTCCTCAGCTCAGTTTGCTCAAAGCACCATTGAACCCGACCTTGAACACTTCCAATGATGGGGCATCCACMGCTCCTCCAGGCAGTTCATTTCAGTATTAACTGAGAGCCCTGAGCTGCTGAGAGCCACAAGTGGTGCTTTGTAGGATTCAGACCCTCTCCTGCTCTGTGCCCTGTTCAGCCTCCTCTTCTCAGGAGATTTCTGAGGAAGCGTTTTGAGGGGGAAAAGCTATTTCAYGCAATRCTTSGGTAAGGAAAGAAAATTTCTGTGARGGAAGTGGATTTTCAGCTGTTGGACTTCTCAACGAGAAKAATTATTAAAATGTGGAAATAATGTTGAGCCAGAGGGTAATGGGATGTGCTGATGGTATGAAATKGGCTTCATGGTATTTCAGTGAGAGGTTAGCTTTCGCCACTGAAACGTGCTAGTTAGAACAGGAGATAAAATGCTCCCAATATCCCGAAATGTGAGTTCCTATAGGATTTATGAACACGGTCAGGGCTGTTTTGGTTCTGACTGATAGTAAGAGACTGTTGYGACCCTGCTACTTCATAACATCTCTGTTTAAAGTGTCAGTGTATCACTTCTTCGTAATATTGCGAGTCTGTTCCCCCACATTTCCTTGAGGTGTTATTCATGGCTGCCTTCACAATTTTTCATCTCAGCTAAGATGATTGATTAAGAATAGAACAACTGTCTGAAAAGTATTCCATGGCTCAATTCTTCCACTGAGTTGCTCTTGCCTGGTCTCCTAYCCTTGCTATATTTGATCTTGGGAGGAGGTGTGCTGCTGCCACAAGTATTTTGGAGAGGGATGTAGCAAGGGGGCCTTCACTGGATACTGAGGAAAAGTAACACTGAGCTGGTAAGCCCAAACATCCAGAGAAAAAAAACTTATCACAATTATTCTTCTCCAGTGCAGCCCAGCACACACCTGGAATTATGTATGTAAAAAAATTGCACAGAATCGTTCATGCCAAGATTGCAAAAGATGGCTTATTTTTAAAATTAATTTTAGGGGACAACCTTCAAATGCAAAYAAGTTTTGACAAAAGCTGTTCAGCAGGTGCCTTTGTATTTATGCRTTAGAATTGTGAATATTTATGAATTAGAATGGTGAAAAAAGCAAACCAGTTATTAAATACAAATAGTGCTTGTCTCTAACAATGTCTTTTAATAATACGTTRTGTTACTGCAGAAGGTGTGAATATTTAGTGCCCCTTATGTCTGGGTTTAAAAGGATTTTATTCCAAGTTTTTAATACTACATGTTACAATTTTGTCTCTGTTTGTGATGTGAACATGTATTACTTTGGCCCAAATGGTAAAAAGTAAAAACCTCCCCAGCTGGTGTCAGTGGCAGTGACACCAGCAGCCCATCCTGCTCTTCAGAGACATCTTCACACCTGGACCTCAGAATTGTTTTGCTGGAAGAGGTGAAGAGTTAATWAACCCTTCACATCTCACCAGCTGAGTAAGTATTGCTGCAAAGGATGCCTGACCTGAGCAAGAGGTTAAAAAAAACCCTTTATTTCTGATTTTGGTGTGGAGCTGCTGTGGAGCCCCACGCTCTTTGCTGCACCACTGTGCCCACTCCCTGTCTGAGATGGGCATTTTCTAACTTTCAATAGGCACAGCCCCTTGCAAACTGGCATTTAACATTGAAACTGAGAAATTTTATGTGTCACAATGGTATTTCAAGCTCTGCTTAGCACATCTTTGATTGCAGACAGGTGTGATTCACACCGTGGTGCCASGCAGATGAGTGACCTGGGCTGTGGGTAAAGCCATCTCCTGCCCCAGGCTCTGATCTGCCTGATCCCAGGATTTGTGGTCWTGGGGATTTTRGGTACCTTGTCCCTGTTACCACTGRTGTGAGCAGAGATGCAAACCAGMCTCAGGAGATGTGAAGTTTTGTGACAGATTTGAGATCTCACTCTTTCTCCAGAGTGTTCTTCATCCCACAGGGTGTCCCTGGTCACACTGGGATTCAGTGGGTTTGTGTTTAGGTGCCAGCTTTTCCCCAGCTTCTCATTTGGACACTGTGTCKGATTGCTTAAGTCAATGTCTCTGTTCACGTTGCCACTTGGGAAGCTTTTTATAAAACTTCTGAACCAGTCCAGCTGGCTCAGCTGCATCTTCTGGAAGGGATGATTTGGGCTGCCATCAGCCAAATTACTTACTGGAATTAAAAATCAYGTGAATAATGGTGTTTACAAGGCACTCAGCGTACCAAGCCCTGCCTTCATGGTCTGGGTTTTTYGGTGTCACTTTTTCAAACTAAAAATAACTGCATGTCGCCCTCCCCTGTTTATATCTTTAAAYTATTGTTATTTAAAATATAGTAATGATAACTATTAATTAGGCAGCTACATGGTTGCTAAAGCAGGTATCATTGCTTTTATTGGGAGGATTGAAAGAGGGGATCACAGAATGAGAGAACCACAGGGTAAAGTTGGAAGGGACCACAGTAGGATGGAATATTTGTACATCCAGGAGMAGTTAACTAATCTTAATTCTGAATTGTTGCACTGCAGCCAGAAATAAAATTTTTTTCATGTGTGAATTTCAGATGCTGTATGTTGTAACTCTTGCAGGTCTGAGTCTCTTTGATGGCCTCTGTGCAATGCACTGACCTTGTCCAGTCACCTCTGATTTACACATTTGGTGGAAGSCAAATCTGTTGATACTAACAGGTTTATAAAATGGGATCTATTCCAACTGAAGAGTGAGAGCAGGATGTGAGATGATCATAGCATGCAGGTTTTTCTTCTGAACGACCTGTGTTAAAGCTTCTTGCATGAGAGGCTTTCTCCACTTGCTAACTCAGCTGACCTCTCTGGTCACCTGCRCCTTTCTCTCGCAGCTGAGCTGTGTAAATAGAATCATAGAGCCATTAAAAAAAATAATTTCAGCACACAAGTAGGCAGACATATATTTTCGTTTATTTTCCAGTTGTAAAGTGTGCTATTTATGCTTATTTCTCTTTTACTTTTTCCCTGAGAAGATCCAGACACCAGGGATGATGTATTTCAACAAAGAGATTTGGTAGTGATTTGTTGTGCCTATTTAGAACACAGAGCTCTTTTGAGAACTGAGGATTTCTTTATTCTGTGATGCCATTTAAAGCAAACTTGATCACATCTGTGTAGAGTATTGGTTAAGTATGTGTCGGGTTTTACCGATGRAGTGACCAAGCTGCTGAGGGGATTAGCAAGAGGGTGGGGCACTTTTCTTACTTCTTTCATCYTTTGTTCCCTTGTTCACATTCCAGTAGGACAGAATTCCAGTTCAGGAGTGAGCAAGTGATGGCTGTGCAGCCATTTGGGAAGGACTGAGCAGCTCAGCACTTTGTGCTGCCTCAGGGAGTGAAAAGTGCTCCATGTCCTTCAAAACCTGTGTGCCCTTTATAGAGCCTGTGAGTGCTGGCTCTCTGTCTGCCCCTGGCTGCTCCAGAGTGTACATCCAAAAATCTGTCTCTCTTGGTCTCAGAAGAGAAATCAAAGTGCCTGCCCTCTGCATTGTCCTGATTTCTCATTGTTGTAATTGATTTATATTTAAAAAAAAATCTATTTGTTGTGGAAAACAAAAGCAAAGTACATGCTAGTCAGAAATGTATGCAGCTTGTCCAAATCAAACCTTTTCCATGAGTAAAGGACAGGTTTTGGTCYCCAGTCTTTCAGTTCAATCATCCTAAAAGCACTGCATGAAATACTAGATCTTTCAGAGAAAAAAAAAAAAMAAAACAAACAAAAAAACCCCCAACATTTAAATAGATTTATTATTCTGCCAAGATTTATTTGAATTAAAATTCACAATTGGAGGAGGGTTTGGGGGGGAAGGAAGGATAATTTCATTTGCTAAGTGATACTGCAAGATTCCTTGTGAACTGTAAAGTGCCTRAGGAAAAAAATTCCTGTTTTCATTTCATCCTTTTTTAGGACACTCAGAGATGGCAGGTGGAAAAAGTCTGGCAGAACACCTTGTGCATTGGCACAGAAGCRGCACAAAGTCATTCATATATCCATATTCTGAAAATTAATTATTTTCAGCTGTTACAGTGGGAACACAGTACAAGGATTCCTCTGGGTGTGCTGTTACAGCGCATCAGCTCTGTCTGTTCCCTGCAGTTCTGCCTATTCCCCAGCTGCTGGTGCTTGGCCATGACCAGTCCAGCTGTCAAAAGTGATGGTTTTGTGTTTGTGGTTAAACAGGAGCTTGCCAGCTTGTCCAGGTAGGATCCCAAGTGGCATTGCAGTATTGCAGTGCAGAAGAGCCAAGTGCTGRTATCAGGAGGTTGGAGAGGGCTCACTGAGCTGCCAATTTCTGTCCCAAGTTTCCTCAACCCCCAGGGCAGGAAGGAGACAAGCCTGGTCTCCAGCAGATCTGTACAGCACACTCCTGCAATGAGCTGTGCTGCTCAGGCCATGGCTGCATTATCACAGGTCAGAAATGGTTTATAGAAGTGTTTTATTGAGAGTGAAATTGTAGCCTCAGCAGCTGTGGGTGTTGCTGAGGAGAGTGTGATCTCTGACAGGGAGAGACCTTTGTCATAAGGGAACTTCTGATTCTGCCTTTCCTTGTTGTTTGGTATTTCTTGTCATTCCCATCTTCAAATGCACCTTTGTTTATTCTTGAGGATGTCAAGCTCCAGTAAGACAGCCCTGTGTTTATCCATCATGAARAAAGGCTGCCAGGAAGGATGCCCTTGAGAGAGAGTGAGTGCAGCCCCAGTTCCCATCTGCAGCGCCCAGGCGCTCTCTCCGRTGCAGCCCCTCACCCATCCCACTGTCTGTCTCTATTAGTGGCTCTGGCAGCTGAGACCCATGACTCATTCACCATTTTTCTCCTTACTTTCCCTCTGGCCATAGACCTGAGAAAAACATTTTCTGATTTTTTTTTTTTTTGCCTGTTTATCCTTTCAGAGCATGTCCAGATGTATTGACTCTTTCTCCTTTCATTGTCCCTGAGTCAGAGTCTTTCTCACGCACCCTCTCTGAAGCTCTTGGGGTGTTCAGGGCTGAGCTGCCTGGACTCCAGCAATGCCAGTGACACACCCAGGCAGGCTCCCAGACAGCCTAACTCAGTGGAGCATCATCACCTGCTAGATAAGGTGGTGGATGCCTGCTCCCTTGGCTGTCACCATTCCTGTGTCCCTTCCACGAGCAGGCACGTGCTTCCCTCAGCCTCAGTTCACCTTCCAGCAGGCAGCAATGTTACCCACAGCACATGCAAGGAGAGTGATGAAGGGCCAGAAGGTCCCTCTGCCTTTTCAGCCTGGCAGCTGCTCCCCAACTTCCCTTTATCCTGTCTGCCCTTTCTCTAATTTTCCAATGGTGGAATGACTTGAATAATCTGTCACCAGTATGGGCGAGAGGCTTGTTCTTTGTACCTGAACTTGTATTTTCAATTGTGAGTTTAAACTGGGAAAGAGTTCCAGGATTTGTCTGATGTATGACAGTATGCAAATTACCATGGTAACGGCCACATTTCATGTGCTCAGGGCATTTTCCTAAATTCTGCAAGAAGCTGTAGCTGTGTTTATTTATGCAGCTCAAAGTCAAGTTTCATTAGGCCACTGGCTGTTTCGGGTTTTCAGTATCTCTTTTCCTTTTCTTGCCACCATCCATTTTAGCTCTGCATTTTTCTTTTCCTTTCTAAATAAGAGCATTATTTTGAAGCCTTATCTGCATCAACCTCCCTTGTAATTACAAGAGAAATCACAGCTTAGAACAACTCTTCCTTGATGCAGAAAGAGTAGAGTAGCACTGGAGTTGTCATCATTTAGCTCACTTAACCTCACTTGGAAATTTTAAGTCTGCAGTGTCAAGGCCAAAGTTCCTGAGTTCTCACAGTCTCATGAAATTATTTATTACTGAATGAACATAAATCTTGGACTGTTTTGCTGTCATGTGTAGAACAGTGTTATGTCTTTTAGGGGCTTGGTGCTGTGGGAAATTTTAGTGCTAAGTCAGCATCCTTCTTCTGCTTTTTGGTTCCTTGTTTCATACAAGGTCATCTGATACAGCAGAGCTCAAATTCAGGCAAGCATTTAGGAGATTATTAAGTATATTTAGGTATTTAATGTGAATTATCTTTGAAATAACTACCTTAATTAAGATCTAGAAGCTGCTTAGTGAACTCCAGGCCATTAATAGAGAAGTCATTTTGCAATAAAAACCATGGTCAGATGGAGTTCCTTTATTTGCTCTCCATATGCTGTGGACACTGGTGATACCTGCTTCCTTCATTTCCCAGTGTCTTAAGGCAGAGTTATTTAGGGATCTCTGGAGAACATCTAGTCCAAGCACCTACTTAAAGCAAGGCTAAATTCAAAATTTGATCAGGTTGTTCAGGGCCTTGACCCAATGAGTTTTGAGAACCACCAGGGATGGAAACTTCTCCATGTGACCAAACCCCTTTTCTGGGCTGTGCCTTTCCCATCATGAACCAGTTGAATGTTGGCACCACAATGAGATTGATCCTCAGCCTTCCTTTCTCTGAGCCAAGCAAAATTACTCCCCTGGCCCCTTCCTCACRTGCCATCTGCAGCCTCCAGTCATCTTCATCATCCTCCAGGGGATCACAGGATCACAACCTGGGTTGGAAGGGACCACAAAGATCATCTTGTTCTGAACTCCCTGTCATGGGCAGGGACACCTTCCACTGCTCCAGGTCACTCAGGGCTCCATCCAGCCTGGCCTTAAACACTTCCATGGGCAGGGCATCAACAACTTCCCTGGGCAACCTGTTCCAGTGCCTCACCACCCTCAGAGTAAAGAATGTCTTCCTAACATCTAATCTGAGTCTGCCCTCCTTCATCTTTTACCCTTATCCTATCACTGCAAGCCCTTGTAAAAATTCACTCTCCATCTTTCTTGTGGGCTCTCTGTAGTACTGGAAGGTGCTACAAGGTCTCCCCAGCTCCTTCTCTTCTCTAAGTTGAACAACCCCAATTTTCTCAGCCTCACGGCCTCATCTGGGCTCACTCCAACAGCTCCATGTCTTTTGTGTGCTGACAGCTCCAGAGATGGACAAGKACTCCAGGTGGAACCTCACAAGAGCAGAGTAGAGGGGAAGAATCCCCTCCCTTGATCATGGCACTGTGTCAATAGTTTTCTTGCATGGCCCTGCTGAGTTAGGTAGGCATTCCCTAAGGAGATGAAACAAATGGCACTATTGCTCCATGAACAATAAAATTTTCTTTTCCTTTAGGCAGTGTTCTAAAGCTCCAAATCATCACTGTGCTTTCTGAGAGTATGGAGTGTGAAAGGCAAAAAGGCTGGTATCTTAATCTAAGAACAGCTGTGACACTGGGAAAACTGTATTTCCCAAAGAATCTGAAAAGAGCCTTCTCATTTTCCTGCTCACTGTCAGAGTGTTGATGATTATGTGTTGAAAGTACTGAATTTCACAGCATTGTGTGGTSCATGGATTACATGAAAACTGCAAACACATTTTGATGACAACAGTCCTAGGTTTTGTCCAGTTTCTCCTGAAGTCATTAGGAGGATTTCCATTTATTTTTCTTGAGGTTTTTGTGTGATGAGTGTCTGCCATTATTGTACTGACTTGAGGGTTATTTTTAATGTATTAATGGAGCTTTAGCTAAGAAATGTCAGATTTGTTTATTTCTTTCTGTCAGTGACATTTTATTTTCATTAATGATACATCTAAACAAGAGAAATAGAAAGGAGAGCAAATTGTGTTGCTAAACAAAAGTTGGTTTAGCTCCCAGGAATATGCCAACATGTCTGCAAAACTCCACCTAAATTCAGTAATTGAGCTTATCTCCTCAAACATAGGATATTATTAGTAGCAAAGCATTTCATTAGCTGTCTTTTGCCTTACAGCTGAAAGCCAAACGCCTCCTCTGGCATTTCCCAAGAAGTCTGGCTGTAGTTCTCAGAGCAACACTTTTAAGATTGCGTGTGACTGAATAAGATTTTGCTGCAGGAAGTTTTATGATAAACTGAATCATATCATTATTATTACCAGCCTAAAAAAGCACCTTTTAAAAAAGTTCCTAAGGCAAAATTATGCTGATCTGGCTTTGCTCATGAAAAAAAAGGGTCTAGAAAATGGCCCAAGAAGGTGCAAGTGTAATATAAACCTTCAGGACATTTTAAATTATCCAATGTCCATTGTCCTGCCCCTGCACAGCTAATGAGTGAAAGTGGGGCTTAAGAAAAGGGTCTTGAGCAGCACTCTCCAGATATTAGAAAAATTCCAGGTAAAAATAAAGCTGAACAGCAAGGAGGACATGTGGTGGAGCTGATATAGGAGGTGCTGACTTGAGCACACCTCGGGAATGTGCTCGTGGCTCCTTGTAATGCCAGGAGGGGCAGCGTGCTGGAATCTCTGACAGAGCTCAGCACTTTGCAGAATTGGGTCCGCCTGCCACGTGAAGCGTGTCATCYCAAACCAGGAAACCACAGGACTATTAAATAAAATGTCTTAACCACTGCCTTCTTCCATGAGATGAAAACAAGGATGGTGATAGAGACAGCAATTTGCTCTGGTTGCAAAAGCACACAGCCAGTCCTAGTGGGAAGGCTCCCACTACCACCAAGACTGGTTTTGTTTTTGCGGAGCCATCCCTGGTGTATTTTGTGTGTTTGTCTCACAGATCAAGGCTGAGGACGCCACAAGGCTCGGGGTTGGCAGTTCTCCTCCTCCTCCCCTATGGCTGATGGGAGATCTCGGCTGATGGGAGTAGGGCTGGAGGGTGTCCCTGCCTTGCTAAAGGACTCCCTTTATTAGGGSATGGAGACTTACCTGCCTAGATTATGATCTGTCTAGGACAGGGAGCAACTCCATTCATGCATTTGTCAGTACCTGGCAAACAGCATCAAAAAATAACATCMAGGCAATAATTACAGTAGCCCACAAGTAAAATTAATACAGATAAAAATATTTATTTTCATAGTATTTTCTTATAAATTAGCTAATATGTATTAACCCTACATACCCATATATATCCATATATAGTAGTAAACTGCTTTTATTCAGTAGCATGATAACAGTACCTGTAGGAGAAAATATGAAAACTGGAATTCATTAGGGAAACATTTTGCACTGCAATTAGATGTGATGCTGCTGAACGTGGGGTTTCAATTTGTTTAATTCACGTTGATGTGCAGACAAGGCTGCAGAACAAGAAAAATYCAAGCATGTATTTAGTATTAGCTACTTTGCTTGTTCATACACACTTTAGCTAAAACCTTGGTGCCATATGATTTCAGATTTTTTCCGTGTGTCCCTAATCAAATATTCATGGTTGTATTCACACTTACAGGAAGGATTCTGAAGTCTACCTTGAAGTAAACACAGGGAATGCAGCATATGTTCAGTCCAAACTTCGTTCCTGCCCATGCACAAATGAGCTCTAGCAACAGCTACAACCAGTTACATGTGTGAAAATCAGACAGATGCTTCTTAGGCACAACATTAGCAATGTGAACCTATTGGACTTTCTAGGAGGCACAGAACACTATGAACATGTGCAGTTCTCATTTCCCATTTCAGCTAGGGAATGGGAAAATATATTTACCCAAGAGGACAGATCCACACAGAAAACATCATCTTCTAGATCCAATTTAGCAGGAAATTATGTCCATTGGGTCCAGAGGAGTAACATTTGAGTTCCAGCTGAGTGGCTGGGCTTCAACAAAGCTTTCACTCTTTGTTTCTCTTTGGGGAAGCAGTGCAAAAGCAACTATCTTAAGATATACTACAAACATTTAATTCTGTTTATTTCATTATTAAGGAGTAGTAAATATCACTAATAGTAACTTTCACATTAATAAAACTAAAATTTTATTAATACATGATTAGGATTTTTTTGTCAGTGGAATAGAAAAAATATAATTTGGTGTACATCCAAGCAACTTCAAAAAGTATCAGTGTTTGAACCTAAGTAATTTCCAAAAAAAAACTTTATAACATCTGTCAAAGTTATTTAGCTCCCTAACTTTGCCTKTGTTGAGCACTTAAGTCTTACTCATACAATCATTTTCATGTTTGGCACTATGTTCCTATATAGGTTGCTACTGTAAAAAGAAATCAATTTGCTGGTGCTGTTTATTATTTATGTAGCACCCTAAGTAGAAAGAAAGAAAACTGACAAGATCCAACCTTACCTTCATTTTAATTCCTTGGGAAGGATGTTTCATGATTTTTCCCCTCTTTGAAGTACTAGGTCTCTGAAATCTCTTTTTAATGATTCAGATGAAAAATAAATATGTGGAGGAAGCAGTCAGTGTGCAGAATTCGAAGAACAGAGACATTTTGAGGCCGTGCCATGCAGGGGGATGGGAGCAGCATCTCGGTGTGGGCGGCTGTGTATGCCGGGTCCTGAGCTCCGGCTGGCTCTGGTTCAGCAGCGGGGCAGGAGCTGCTCTCATCGTCAGTGAACCAGCTGYTGTGGCAGATGATCGTGCTGAATTTCAGGTCATTTGATAACTAGGGCAGGCAGCCGTGCTTTGCAGTTCAGCTTGGGTGACACGTAGGCTGAGAACTCCATCAGCGCCATGCAGGATTGCTCACGTTTCTCGGGTGCTCAGGTGGGCTTTTTCTGGGGGCAGAGATGGGTTGTTCAGCCAGGTCCCATCCTTGGCAGCCAGACAGCAAGCTCTGTCTCCTGTTTGTCCCTTCTGCATGCAGGAGAAGTGTGGGACATTGCTCATTTTTCAGCTTTATGATGAATGACATTCCGAGTGTAAGAACATTCTGGTTCTTATTTAGGCTCTTACTTAATTCTGCTGGTAGAATCTGCTTCGTTATCAACGTGAATTGTGGTGCTGACTTCCAGACTTGCAAAGAAAAGCTTATAGGCATATCAGGGAACAGCAAGGAAAGCTTCCCAAATCCTTTGGTGGCTTGGCAATACCTGAGAGCAGACTTACAGGGAAGGGGGAGCCCTGAGAGGAGCCACAGAGAGGAGCAGTCCAACCCTGCTCCTTTGTCAAGCTCCTGGAAAGGGAAGTGGCAAGGCTTGCTCAGGGCCAGGGGAAGGATTAATGTAACATTCTGGGGAAAGCAGCTGGGAATATCACGGTAATTTTCTCAGCTTGGCAAGCTTTTAAGCTTTAATGGATTCCCAGAAGGGTCAGGCAGGTCTTTGGTGTAAAGGCACCAATAAGCAGTGATGCTGGATTCCTAGAATTTCAGAGTCAAAAGAGATCATTAAAGCCATCCACTGTAACTCCCATCCACTGTAACTCCCATCCACTCTGGGTTCAAACCTTTGGCATTCTGACCACAAATTCTTTACTGAGTGAAAGCATATTTCAGAAAGCCACTGCCTTGATTTAACAACTTCATGTGATAGACAATCTACCACTTCCCCAGGTAAGTTGCCCCAACTGGCCCATTACCATAGCTGATAAATAAAATCCTGTGTCTGCAAGGATACACTTTCCAGGCTCAGGCACCTGCCCTGCTGATGCTGATACCCAAACCAGACTGTCCAGTCACCTCAGCACTGGGAGTGTGTYCAGCCTGCTCTCCACCAGGGAGAAATGCACAGAGCAGGGTTAAAAGAGGGTGCTGGGGAGCTGAAACACCACCGGTGTAAGAAATGTGGGAACAAAGTCAGGATTGCAATACATCTGAAGAAATGACCTAGAAGAGACTTTTTGGTCTGAAAAAAGGCTGCTTTTAATGTGACTTAGAAGGTTGTATCTACCCTCTCGCCCCCAAAGCTTCTCATAACATGCTGAAAAGCCTCTACAATTTGAAATGGTAAAAAATTTATGAAGAAAGAGCAGGGAATTAGGTATTTTGGCAGAGAGCAGGCTGCTAAAGATKCCTGTCATATTAGAGGTGGCAGCTTAGACTTGTTTTCTGTGTTTCAAAGTGAATACAGCCTTTAAGGCAAATCAGCTATTTTTAACTCTTATTCTGGAAAGTCCTTTTTGTCTATGCTGGGAGAAAAGATACGTGCTCTGTGTCACAGTCGTCTCACAACCACTTACCTCGCCAGCCTCCTTTCGATAATGAGACAGATAATAGCACAGAAAGCTGGTCACCCAACTCGGTGATGAATAAACCTGCAACTGGGAGGGGCAAAGCCTGTTTGATTTATCAGGAGAGGTCCCATTCTGGATRGCCAGGCACAGCCAAACAGGTACTCACTGCAAGGAAATTTGCCCGCCGTGCCCCCTGCAAGCCTGTGTGTGGCACACCCAACATGAGTCACCAGCAGGGAATGCTGAGCCAAGATGAGCGTGGARTTCCATTTTCCAAACCCTCCCTGAATCCACGGGTAATTTGGTAGAGTTTATGGCTTAGTCTCTTAGGATTGGACTCATCCCAGCTGTATTTATAGCTCTGTCTCACCCAGGCTTCTCCTGTAATCAGSAGAGACACAGCCGGGGAGGATGGATCCCTCTTTTAGATTGGCACCGATAACTGAGGAGGGTGCTGATGCAACTACAAGTTTKCAGAGCTGAGTACTTTGGATTGCTAGCCTCTTTACAGAAGTTTAGGGCTTTTTCTTGGGTCTCAGTCCTTCTGCCTCGTAGGAGAAGTCCATAGTGGTTTCCCACAAGTGCCTGTTCATACTCTCAGGGAACAGAATGCATTTTCAAGTGAATYATAATCAATTTGCAAGTTTAAATTAATTAAATTTGAGCCCTCTGAGAAGTATCAAATGCATGCCTGCACTTCCTTTATACCAAATGATGCTAATAGCAGTGTAGCAGACTTCAAATTTCCCCATCAGTTAAATTGATTGGAWTTTTTTTTGTAGAAGGCAATTTAAAAAGCAATATACTGTAATATAGGTATGTTACTAGTGACTGTTTTAATTGTTACCATGCTACAGGCTASTGGCAGACAGCAGCTTAAATAACTTGTAAATGGGACAACTGTCATGACAAATGAGTGATTTACCAGCCTTCATCTTTCCTGTGCAGCTATTCTGCTCTTAGCAGTGCCCTGCAAAGAAAAGATATGCAAAGTGTAAGCATGTCTTTTAAATATTGCTTCATTTAGTACCACAAACACTGACATGATTTAATCAGAGCATATTATTAGAGAATGGCATCAGTACAAGATAGTCCAATGCAGATAATTTTCTGGTAGCTGTCATTTTTGCTTGAGTTGACAGGGTTTTCCTGGGCTTAATCCATGAGACTTGCATTTGCCTGGAATGCTTCTTGCTCCCGGTTTCTTGGTGGAAACTGTCAGTCTTGCATCGCATTTAAAATGGTTTGTAACTGGAATTACGTGTTATGGGCTGGTTCTGAAATAGATGCTATGCCAGGTGGGTCCTTGCTCCCATGGCTGAGTCTTGGTGCAGGCACCAGAATCCAGGCTGTCCATGGAAAAATTGTGGGTTACAGGCTGTATTCCTCGGCTGGTCCCCCTCACTTGTGTGTGTACTGCAGGTACTGAAATTCAGGAAAGGATCCATCATCTTAAGAGTCCTGGCTTGCTATGGACTCAGCCAAGCCTCCGTGCAAGGAGCAGCTCCAGAGAGACAAAATGTGGAGATGAGCAGGCTGCTTTCTCCCAGGTCTTTCTCCCAGGCTGCTTTCTCCATACAGACTTATTCCAACCTAATTGCTGAGGTATGTGTTGTCTGGGGAACAGCAGCCATCCCACAAGTATCGTGTACTAGTGGGAAACACTTCAGCTCTCCTTGGCACAGTACCCAGGAGTCCTTTGGCATTGATGGTGGAAATGGAGGTTGAGAGCAGAGAAGAGCGATATAAAAAGTTAATGCTGGTTCYGTGTAAGCAGCTTCTTCAAGTATAACAAAACATCTGACGCTGACCCTTAATTAAAGAAACGAGTTTACATCTTGAGAGCTACAAAGATCTGGTCAATGGCATGACACTGGCTTTTTAGTATATTTTGTCTGACTCAGGAACTTAAGAGTTCATCGTTCTCCTTCTTGAGTGTTTTCCAGAGCTCTCTAAAGTACAAACCTCCTCAGAGTGCCAGTTGATAAAGGCACTACTAAAATGAAACCAAGCACTTGATTCCTTTCATAGTGTTATTTCAGTGTTGGCACAGCCTCTGGGTTTTTAGCTGTCTAATGTGCTGTTAAGTGCCTCCTCAAGCATGGATAATAGATATTAGGAATAAAAAAGGAAAGCAACCTTTTCAATTAAGGACAGAATGTACAGAAAGTAAAAAGACATGAGTTGTATCAGCTGCATATTGGCTCTTATGCTCACAGTCTCCAGATACAATCAGTAGGTGCTCAACCAGATAATTACAGCCTTCCTGCAAAAGGCTTCATGTAGGAGAGTCACCTGCCTGCCTGCTACCACTTGCAGGATCAGAGCTGTCCTTTATTTTTACTGCTGCAGATTGTGGAATTAGTGTTTTCCAACTTCTGTTTAAGCAAGAAGCATTTATCTAGTGCATCTCCTTCCAGCAGACTGCTGCACCAGGTAAGCGCTGGGAATCAAGTGGGATTCGTCAGCCTTTTTGTCAGTAATGATTTCTGTTTGTCAAAATGCAATTTGCACCATTGATTTCCTGTTGCAAGGATTGTAGAAGCAGTTAGCTGGGGCAGTGCATGCCTTTCAGCCAGCTGGTATTGGTTCATGCTCARAATGAGGTCAAGGGGTTTTTATATACAGGAGTAAGAGGTGGTCAATTGAATTGTTGCTTAAAATCTCTTTAGGTGCACAGCAYCTCAAGTGTTCCTGATTCCGGAATTCCCTGTAAGGATGCCAAAGGCCTGCAACCTTTGTGAAGGTCAAATAATGCTAATAACAAATTRGAAGATTTCAGGGGGGGATTTATGCCCAATACTGCGTGATAAAGTGTCCCTTTTGAAGTGACTTGCATGCAGCTGGTGGCACATGTACCACAGCTAAGAATCCCATTGCAGGTGTTACAAAAGTATTTTCACAGTGCTTTTGGCCACAGCAGATTTTTTTTTTTTCTCCCAAACTTGGACAAGCACTGATRGTGCCCAGCAAGTCATAAGTTTGCTTGTGCAAAGCAGAAAGCAGAGGTATGGCTCATGTCATACTCTCTGGGGAAAATTCCTTCTCAAGGTCTTTAATTATTTTTCCTGTGRGTCACGCTGCTATTTCCACTTTCGGGGGGTCACTCTCTTGCTGGTGGGATTGTGGATATCAGTCTTAATTTCAGAATTAGAGGTGATAGTGGAGTCCCTGAGAGAAGCTGTTCCCAGTCCATATGAGCTCTCCTGCTCTGCTATTTACTCAGTCACATGGTGGCCCTGCCATGTTGTGTTTGAATGAGCTATTTTAAAATATTATGTTAATTTTAGGGAGGAGGGTGGAGCTGGGGTGGAGGGAGGAATTACCACACCCACTCACTGGTTTTCTGGCTCCATGGCAGACTGTTGGCAGGGAATTTGCTGTGCAGGTGGTAAGTCTGCCGAAGGATCTGTAGGAATTTGTTAATCTCTATTAGATCAGTTTGAGAGTCTCTGAGATGCTGCTTGGCCTTGAAGGAGGTTTTTCAAATTTTGATTAGTCATGACCTTATTTAACCCCATAGAAACCACAACCTGACTGTGGAAGATAATAATATAGAAAATAAGTCATTGAAACAGTTGGATGCATTCTTATGACAGAAATAAACTGTACATCTCTGGGTTTACAGATTCTGTCATTAGTTYGAGATAATGTTTTAAATTGACTACATTTGTGTAATACTGTTCTTTTGAAAGAGCAGGTRCTTCCAATGGTGGTGCAGGATAAGTGTGCATTTCGGAGATCTTAGCTGGTATTCTACATCAGGCAGGTGCTTCCCTTCAGTCCTTATGTGTGAGATGCAGGAGGAAAGCACAGGAGATTGAAGTGCCCTCAAAACTGAGAATGGAGGGGTTTGATGATACTATGCTTTCTAGGAAAATTGGAGTCCTGAATATAAAACATGGCCTACAATTTTACAATTTTAATGCCATT